GACAGTAACACGTGACACCGATCTTAACTGGCTTTCTGTGGATCTTAAATATGCGTTCTGTAATCTACATACACCGAAACCTTTACAATTACACCTAAACACACATCGAGAGAGAAAAAAAAAATTGTCGACCTAATATCAAAGTCGTTTTCCTTCATCCTGACATCAACTTTACAGTTTTATTACGTCAAACGCCTCAGTTCTCCAGATACATTTCTTTATGTTAAAAGGCGAAGATTAAGAACATTAGAAGGAAAAGCAATACGGAGTAAGCTCGAAGATAAGTTGTACGTAAATATTATCAATTGATCAGTTACCCTGTTCGGTATTAGGACTTGGTTGGGTTAGAAATGGAAGTGTCTTTGTTGGATATCGAAACGTTTGCCGCAAATAAAGAAACGTTTCTTGGGATACATACACGTCTAAATATACGGAGGAATGTATAGAGAACCGTTTGTCGTGAAGTTCGTGTTGAATTATTGTAGAAACTTTGGTTATAAATTACGAATCTTTGGGCTATAACGAGTGTAATGACTAAGAGATATATTGGCCATAATGACGATTTTTAGCTGCAAGTCTGAACGTGTTTGATCTAAACCGAATAGTTTGCCGTTGTCATAAAGCCTCCAAACGTTTGTTGTATGTGTAAATATACAAACTAATGAGGAAATGGTTGTTGCAAGTTCGTTGTACATTGGGACACTTGTCATAAATGTGAAAAACACGCACGAGGGAAGGGTTGTCGCTATACGGAAACGTTTGTCGCAAATATGGAAACGTTTGACTTAGATATGGAAAGAGCTGGTTCCATATGGAAACGTTTTTTTTCGCAAATATAAAAACGTTTGCCCTATATATGGAAAAGACTGGGTTAGTATGGAAATGTTTTCCGGAATTATGGAAACGTTTGTCCTAGACATGGAAAGACTCGTCATAATATAGAAACATTTGTCGTCAGTGTGGAAAGACTGGTTAATATGATAACATTCTATTTCGTTAATAGAGAAACGTTTGCTTGTAACATGAAAACACTCTTAGTGTTGATATCTACATCAATACGCATTTCTAAAAATAATAACAAATAATTGTCTTACTATAAAAACTAAATTTAATAATAGAAATGCTTACTGCAAATCTTTGACGATAAAATACAAACGGAATAAAATAAAACCAAAAAAAAAAAAAAAATTGCAAAACACACACAACACTCACACGTGGATAATATAAATAATATAATGAAAACGATGAAAATGTCGAACCAAAATGAGATGTGAATTTTACATAAAGGTTGAGCATTCTTAACTGACTAAAATCAGTGCATGTAATGAACGGGATGTGAAAGGATGGATCGAGATGCGACACTAAATAAATCGATAAAATGTTGATTGATTCGTGCTAGAATTGAGATTATAAATATATTGAGCGTGGTCATATATGATTGTTCTTTGTGGTTGTGTAGGCATTAAGGATGACTGCGACGGTATTAAATAAAAATGATGTGTATTTAAAAGTTTGAAAAAACGAACGAAAATGCGAAAGTTTCTGTTGATATTATCGATTAAAGATTAGATTTTTATTTTTTTTTAGGTGAAATATAGGCCTACATTCGTTTCTTTAATTCTTAGATTAATTGCGATTTTAGGAGGAATCGTATATATCGATGAAATCTAGACCTTACTAATAGCTGACATAAGACGGAAGAAATTGGCCGGGCTTGTCAGCACGGGTTGTAAAGCACATAGGCCTATATACGGTATAAAAGCTTGTGGCAATAGAATTTCAAAAAAAAAAAAATCTTATATATTTGTATATATATATAATATGATATGGCAAGCGGAAGATTTAAGGCTTTCAGAGGCGCGAATAAAATCACGTTTGATTATTCAATAGATTGTGATATCACTGTTAAAGCTTATTTGAGTAACTTCCTGTGGGATTTTTTTTTTGTTTTTTTCGAATTCTGCGAAGCTACGGTAGAGGAATTCACGTATATGTACAGTTCGTAAGCAAGAGTGGATAAAAATGAGCTTTTAACATTGATTCTTTTTTCTTACAAAATAACAAGAAAAAAAAATTAGAATGTGCGGAAAAAGAGATGATTAATCGTCTGTTTTTTTGTTTTTTTTTTTTTTTGTTCTCTTTCTCTTTCTTTTATATACCAAATCAACGCATCGAACAACCGCACTACGTCATCTCATAACCGAAAAGCAAAAAATCGAGGAGGTAGGTCCTCAGAAATCGCAGTTTTTCCGGCATGGACAGCCGCTGGAGGTAGTCCTTGTGCAGGGCCGTGGCGTGGTAGGGGCGGTCGGCCTGCGGGAACCTCTCGGCGAACTGCCCGGCGCCCAGCCAGTGCAGCGTCTGGTTCACGTCCTTCTGCAGGTGCTCGTAGCGGCCGATCACGTCGTACTGGGGGCAGAGAGGTAGGGTGTGAGTCTTGGTGGATTTGGGTGTTGGGTATGAGAGGGAGGGAATGACCGGGATATGAGAGGAGAGGGAGAGGAGGGAGGGAGGAGGGAGGAGGGAGGAGGAGGGAGAGGGAGGGAGGGAGGAGGAGGGAGAGAGAGAGAGAGAGAGAGAGAGAGAGAGAGAGAGAGAGAGAGAGAGAGAGAGAGAGAGAGAGAGAGAGAGAGAGAGAGAGAGAGAGAGAGAGAGAGAGAGAGAGAGAGAGAAGACAGAGACAGAGAAGGGGGACAGAGACAGCCAGATAATTATTTAGGCCGGTAGAGAAGGAACCAGAGAACCAGAGAAAGATAGGGAGACAGCAGGATTTGACATTCTGAAAGAGGGAGTTTTGAGGAATAGTCAGAAAGGAAATTCCCGGAGACAGAAATAACCTAAGAAGATTACGACTTGAATAAATGTTAAGAGCCTTGGGGGGGAAAAAAGGCTAATGAAATATACTACATACTCTAATATATGTTATAAGCTCTACAATCTTGAGAAAAAACACGATAACTATCAACTAATGAGCCTAGAGGTTCAGCAGCTTTTGATTCACCCAAAAACATATCAAATACCTCAAAAATGGACTTAAAACCCTCAAGATTAGCGACCGGATTGTTAAAATTGCGCGAGGTCCGAACAAATGAATATTCCTTATACGGTAGACGTGCATAACTAACGGATAGATGAATAAGTAAATGTATATCCATCAGGTAGATTGTTAGAAAGGCATTCATCTCTGTGTTTATGCCTCTCCGTATATATGAATTTTAATTGGGTCGGGCTTCACACACTTCTAACAAACCGCCCTAAGACTTGAAAAAAAAAAAAAATCGAAGGAATATACTATATATTCTAAAATACGTTACAGGCCCTACAACCTTGAGAAAAAAAAAAGTTGACTACGAATCTAACACTTTCAGAATCTTTTTCTCAACCCTAAAACATACCCAATCCCTCAAAACGGACTCAAAAACTCCCTGAAGGTCCCCCTCTCATACGCCTCCCCCGATCCCTAAAACCTTCCCCGCGTCCCTCTCACACGTCCTCTCTCATACCCCCCTCCCCGATCCTAAAACCTTCCCATGCCCCGAACTTTCCCCATCACCGGGGTAGGGGCGGAGCGTCTGGATCACTCCCCGATCCCTAAAACCTTCCCCGGCATGTCCCCTTCGATATAAGACGCCGCCGCTCCCATGGTAGGACGTGCCTCTAGCGAGGGGGCAGGCACAACGAGGGTGGAATTACGCAACGAGGGTGGTGGGGGTCCGGGGGAAGGGGAGAGGGGAGGGAGTATTGGAAGGGGTTGGAAGGAGAGGGGCCAGTGAGAAGAAAGGAGCGCTTGAACACGCGAGTGTGAACAGGGTCGCGGAGGCGGAAAGCGGAAGGGGCATCAGGGTCCAAGACGTGCCGAACACCGACCGGCCTAAAAAACCTTTCCTGCGTCCAACCTCTCCGCTCGTGGCGGAGGGGAAAGGGAGGCCCGAGCAAGGAGAGTACGGGAGGGAAAGGGGCGAAGCTGGAAGAAATAAGGAGACCGCGGTGATATCGCTGGAGCGCAGCGGCACGCGAGTGTCGACACTAAAGCCCGGGGAGGCCGGGAGGGATATTGGAAACTGCCTATAGGGAACGCCATTTCCCTATGCCGTCCCCAGGCCTCTCCCTTCTCGCGTAACGGGTTCCCCTGCTTTCCATATACGCTCCCACTCGTCGCCCGACCACTAAAGAGAGGCCTTTCACCGCACGTCACGCGGAGTCAGGGGACCTCGTCGCCTTCCTCAAGTCTAAAGACTTCGCCGCAGGATAGCCCGCCTGTCTCGGGGAGCCGACCACCTAAACCTTGCCCATCGTCCCCCTCATCACACGTAGCCCCTCTCCCCGACCGATAGCCTAAAACTTCCACCACGTCCTCCCTCGCGGTCACGAGCGTCAACTGGCCTGCTCTCGGACATACGGTGGCGGACTACCCTAAAACAGCTTCCCCACTCCGCCCCTCATCAATACGCCGCCCTCTCCTCTCCTAAAACCTTCCCCACAGAGTCCACTCTCCCACTCTTCCCTAAAACCTTTCCTCACGTCCCCCTCTCAGTTCCTCTCCCCTAAAAACATATCGCCCACGGTACGCTCTTCATCATAACGCCACCCTTTCAAGTCAATATCCCCGTCCCCTTAAAAAGTCCTATCCCCACTGGCTCCCCTCTCCTACGACCCCTCCCCCCACCACAGCCCACGCCTAGTCTCTATCACCCTCGCTAGGTCACACGTCCCCCCCCATCTTACCCTTCTCCTAAAACCTTCCCTCCACCGTCCCCTTCTCATAATCCGCCCTGCCCTTACTCACGCTCTCCCTAAAAGCCTTTACCACACGTTCCACCTCTCCTCTTCATCTCTAAAAACCATTCCGCTATAGTCTCCAGTCCCGAGCTCTCCCTTCTCTCTAAGACCGTTCCACAACGTCCCTACTCTGCTTATAGTCTCCTGTGCCCCCCTCATTCGCGTCCCACGTCGGCCTATAAACAGCTTCCCATCGCATCGTCCACCTCCTCACGCCTCATCCCCTAAAACCTTCCCACGTCCCCTCTCCCCTCTCCTAAAACATTCCCCACGTCCCTCTCTCATACGCCCCCCTCTTCCCACGTCCCCTAAAACCTTCCCCACGTCCCCCTCTCCTACGCCCCCCCACCCCACCCCCCCACCCCCCACCCTGGCCAACCCCAGCTCACCTGCACGGCGCAAGGGGCACACAGTTCCGTCATGGGGAGCCAGTGCTCGTTCTTTTGGGCGAAGGTCCAGGTGCCGTTCGGGGGCGTGACCCAGGTTATGAACTCGGAGAAGGTGACGTTGTGACCTTGACCCGTGACCTGAGGTTGAGGGAGGAGCTTGGGTCAGTGATCGGGTGATTCTGTGGGTTTTTATTTGCGCGATGGAGGAGGCTTTGTTTTTTTATTTGTTGTAATGATGATAATAATAATATTATCATTATTATTATCATTATTATTATTATTATTATGATTTATCATTATTATTATTATTATTATTATTATTATTATTATTATTATTATTATCATTATTATCATTATCATTATCATTACTATTATTATATCATTATTATCATTATCATTAATCTTATCATTACTATTATTAATATCATTACCATTATTATTATCATTATCGTTATAATTATTATCATAATTACTAAATTATTATCATCATCATTACTATTATCAGTATTATCTTTATCATTAATATTATTATCATTATTATCATTATTATTAGTAGTAATAGTATCTTTTTATCAACATTATTACTACTATAGCTACTATCATTCACACTGTCATTAGTATTAGCTCTGATATCATCATATCATAATTATCATTACCATTAATGTTAGTATTATATTATCATCACCATCACATCACATCACCATCATCATCTTCATCATCATCATTATCATCTTCATCATCTCCACCATTATCATCATCATCATCACCGTCATCATCATCATCGCCATCATAATCATCATTATCATCGCCATCATCATCACCACCACACCACCACCATATTATCATCACCATCATCATCACCACCATTATCATCACCATCTTCATCACCATCGCCATCATCATCACCACCATTTATCATCACCATTTTCATCACTATCATCATCACCATCATCATCATCATCTCCCACACACCTCTCTTCCACTCCACCTTTCCCTTTCCACCTTCCACCCAACTCATCCATCCACCTCATTCCTTATTTAGTCTCCACCTTACTCTTCCATGGACCATCCTCTCCACCACATCCACCTTTCCTCTCCACCTGGACAATTCTCTCCACGTTATCCACTTCATCCACATTCCCTATCCACCTCATCCACATTTATTCTCCACCTTAACCTTCGGCGGACCATCCTCTCCACATCATCCACATCCATCCACCTTCTCTCATCTACCTTACCCTCCACGAACTATCTTCTCCACCTCATCCACCTTCTCTCATCCACCTTACCCTTCCACGGACCATCCTCTCCACCTCATCCACCTTCTCTCATCCACCTTACCCTTCCATGGATCATCTTCTCCACCTCATCCACATCCCCTCATCCACCTTACCCTTCCACCCTTTCCTCCTCTCCACCTCATCCACATCCCCCTCATCCACCTTACCCTTCCACGGACCATCCTCTCCACCTCATCCTCATCCACATCCACCTCATCCACCTTACCCTTCCACCCATCCTCTCCGCCTCATCATCCCCTCATCCATTCCATCCACCTCATCCACATTCCCTCATCCACCTTACCCTTCCACGGACCATCCTCTCCACCTCATCCACCTTCTCTCATCCACCTTACCCTTCCATGGATCATCTTCTCCACCTCATCCACATCCCCTCATCCACCTTACCCTTCCACCCTTTCCCCTCATCCACCTCATCCACATCCCCTCATCCACCTTACCCTTCCACAGACCATCCTCTCCACCTCATCACCATCCCCTCATCCACCTCATCCACATCCACCTCATCCACATCCACCTCATCCACCTTACCCTTCCACCCTTTCCTCTCCACCTCATCCACATCCCCTCATCCTCTCCACATCCACCTCATCCACCTTACCCTTCCACCCTTTCCTCTCCACCTCATCCACATCCACCTCATCCCCTCATCCACCTCATCCCCCTTACCCTTCCACGGACCATCCTCTCCACCTCCTGGCCGACGTGCTTGTGGAAGTCGAAGTTGCTCTCGTCATCCACATTCCCTCATCCACCTCATCCAATCCACCCTTTCCTCTCCACCTCATCCACATCCACCTCATCCACCTTACCCTTCCACGGACCATCCTCTCCACCTCATCCACCTTACCCTTCCACGGACCATCCTCTCCACCTCCTGGCCGACGTGCTTGTGGAAGTCGAAGTTGCTCTCGTCATCCACATTCTCCAGCTTGTCCTTGTAGGCGGATATGAGGCGGTCCAGCGGATGGCGGGTGAAAATGAACTTCTTGAAGCTCTTGAGCATCTCTCTCTTGCGTTCTTCTGCAGGGGGGGGGGGGGTGGAGGGGGAGGGAGGAGGGGTGGAGGGGGGAGGGAGGGGGATGGGGGTGAGAGGGGTGGGGGGTGGAGGGAGGGGGGTGGGAGGGGATGGAGGGGATGGGGGGTGGGAGTGGAGGAGGGGGGGGTGGAGGAGGGAGGGGATGGGGAGGGGGGTGGGGTGGGAGGAGGGGGGATGGTGGGGAGAGGGAGGGAGGGGGGGGGGGAGAGAGGGGAGGAGGAGAGGAGAGGGGGGAGGGAGGGAGGAGAGGGAGAGGAGAGAGAGGGAGAGAGAGAGACAGAGACAGAGAGAGAGAGAGAGGTTAATTGTTTGGGTGGAATGTTGGTATATTTCCCCTTACGTCAAAAAATGGATTAAAAATATTCAAACTTATCACAAAATGGGCAATAAACTTCCCCAAAGAGGCTTTTATCTTTAAATCAAAGATTACACAGGTAATAAATCCTCTACCTGATTATTAGATAGATAAGCCGATAGATAGATAAATAAGTCGATTTGGTTCACTCTCTAATTTTATGCTTTTGTTTTTTGCTATTCTTATTGATATTTTTCTTGTTTTTTCTTGTTTTACTTTTATTGTCGTTTTTCTTTAACCAACCAAACGATATGAAAAAATAAACAAATAGATAGATAAATTAAATAAAATCAAATTGACCAACCAACCGACAAGAAAAAAAAAATAAATAAATAAACAGATAAATAAAAAATATCAATTTAATCAACAGTAAGAAAACAAATAAAAAAGATAAATAAACAGAAAAAAGATTAACCAACTAACCGTAAGAGAAAGAAAAAAAAATAAAAAAAAAATAAAATAACATTAACCAACCATTAAGAAAAAATAAACAAACAAACAAATAAATAAATGAAATAAAATAAAAAATAACATTAACCAACCAACCGGTAAGAAAAAAATAAACAAATAAAAAAAAATAATAAACAACAACAAAATCAAATCAACAACAATACAACTAAACAAATAAATAAAAAAATCAACAACAAATAAAACAAAATCAACAACAATACAACAACAACAACAACTCAACAGCCTAAAAAAATAAACAAATAAAAATAAATAAATAAATAAACAAAAAAATCAAATCAACAACAATACAACAACTAAACAAATAAATCAAAAAACAAACCAAAAAAAAAAAATCAACAACCATACAACCATACAACAACAACCTTGAAGCCTCACCCCGAGAACTTGAAGCTGGCCAGCGTGGACAGGAAAGGCCCGTGGACTTGGGGTCTCGTCAGGGCCATCACGTCCTCGTCCTCTTCGACCAGACCCGAGAGCCAGAACCACATACGCTTCCAGGACGTGCACGCGACCTGTGGCCAAGGAGGAGGGGGTTATGGTGGGTTGGGTGGTGGGGGTTATGGTGAGCTGGTGCTGGGTGGGGAGGGGGTTGTGGGGGAGGGGAGGGGGGAGGTGGGTTGGTGGTGGGTTATGGTGAGCTGGGTGGGGGATGGGAGGGGGGAGAGGGGGAGGTGGGTTGGTTGATGTGGGGTTATGGTGAGCTGGGGGGGGAGGGAGGGGGGGGGAGGGGGAGTTGATGGTGGGGCTATGGTGAGCTAGGGGAGAGGGGGGTTGTGGTGGGGTTATGGTAAGCTGGGGGGGGAAGTGGGTTGTGGTGGGCTATGGTGAGCTGGGGGGGGAGGGTGGTTGTGGTGAGCTGGAGGATCTGTTGCTGTGGGAATGTGTGATGATGGTGAGCTGGTGTGAGGGTCGTTAGAGTAATGGTTGTGGTAATTATGGTGGAGGTTGTGATGTCATGACACTCGTGACGATGCAATAAGTGTAAAAATAAATAAATAAAATGTATGAATGAATGAGTCATGGTACATGTCACAATGATAAATTGTGAGCCATTTACATGTCACAATTATAAAATGTAAGCTATATGCACATAAATAAAATTTCCTTCTAATGTTTCCGCTTCTTCCGTAACTTCTCGAGAAAGAAAATAAGAACAGAAAAATATACATGCACGAATATATGTATATGCGAATGTTTATGTACATAGAATGGCAACCCAGGTATGACGCTTGACAAAAAATAAAATCGGAAATTGCCAAAAATGGATAAAGAAATGATTTATATTTTGAATGGTGTGAGAAAACCGACGGGTGATTGTATAATCTTTGCTCATCAGAAATTTCTTTCATTGTAAGTAAACATGATAATCAGGAAAATGTAAGTTATTCTATGTGTGGAAGTGTAAATACTTCACTACGAAAGAAAAAATTAAGTTCAATTAATCATATTTTGCTAAGTATTTTTTTTCACAAAACCTAAAAAAACACAAAGGACCCCTTAGAGGTACTACCCCCAGACCCCACTGTGTAATAGATCGCCATTGTGTAATATATTCGTGTAATAAGAACCTGACATCAAGAAAAGTACCCAACTCCTAGAAGGAATTAATTACCTCATCCCTGTATTATAAACGAGATGGCAACGCTACAGAACACTACAAAACACTCAGTCCTGTATTCATAGCATACAAATAGCAGGGACTTAAAGACGATTAGCCAAAGTAGCAAGCAGGATGAAAAGGAAATTCTTTCAAACCGGATCACCGAAGACCAAAGCAATAAAGGAGTGAAATTTCAAAAGTTATCCCTAAAAGTTGCGCGTTTTTTTTTAACTATGAAAAAAATGATTAATCTGAACACAAGGCTTATTTTAGACGTTCTTTTTGCACCACAAAATAAACAAATCTCATGCATTAAATATCAAAGCCTAAATGGAGATGAAGAAATCACCAAAAGAAGAACAGATTACAAAATAACAACAGGACTTCTGCCCACACGAGCGGAACTAGAAGAAAATGGGTAAGCAGAATAGAAAACGGAGACGTGACACAGCAGAAATCACGAGAAAAAAAGAAAAAAAAAACAAGAAATGAATTGGCCAGAAGGTAGGTACTTAACGAAGAAAATATTCAGACGTAAAATAATATATCCTCAAAAGGAAGAAATCTATGTATATATACACGTATACATGAATGCATATATGTATATATTAAGATACATATGTACGTATGCATAATTTGATGTATTACCTGTATGTATGTAGCTGTATGTATGTATGTGTGATGTATGTATGCATGTATGTATGTATCAAATTGCTGATGTGTGTATGTATGTATCAGAATGCTGATGTATGTATCAAAATGCGCATGTATATGTATGCTCAAAATGCTGGTATGTATGTATCAAAATGCTGATGTATGCATGTATATGCTGATGTATGTGTATCAATATGCAATGTATGCATGTGTATATTTAATGCTGATGTGCATGTATGCACGTATCAAAATGCTGATATATGCATGTATGTCTGAATGAATACAGGTACAACATGAATTCCAAAAAAATAAAAAATAAAATGAACACAGCAACCCCCTTAGCCCGCCGTACCTTAGGCACAAAGCACATGAGAACTTTGTGCTTGGTGTCGACCAGAATGTGCTTGAGGACCGAGTGGTCGAGAGCTTGCGTCAGGTTGAGCGCTGAGCACACCTGCGAAACGTGGTGGACGCGCATCTCCTGCATCTGTTGCCACGTCAGGTTACCTGTGTACACCTGTAGGGGTAGGGGGGTAGGGGGTAAGGGTGAGGTTTTTCGATCTCTCTCTTCTTTTTCTTTCTCTTTCGTTCTCTTTGGTTTTCTCTCTTTCTCTATTTCATTCGTTTCCCGTCTTTCGTTCGCTTTCGCTTCCGCTCTCCTCTCTCTCTCTCTCTCTCTCTCTCTCTCTCTCTCTCTCTCTCTCTCTCTCTCTCTCTCTCTCTCTCTCTCTCTCTCTCTCTCTCTCTCTCATTGTTTTTCCACTATTATTATAATTATTGTATCTATCACAGTTATAATCAAGTATATTCATTATCATATTTTATTATCATTGTCGATAGCGACCATTATCGTTATCATGACCACTATCACTGACACAATCAAAAGTATCATTAATATTGATATTATAATATTAACCCAACCGCCACAGAGCCTGCAGCTTTTTTGTGATTTTTTTTTTTCATATAGATGGCGCCACATGTACTCAGCATGTCTTACCCATTCCTTGAAATGGCGGGAAAATGTGTTTTCCTTCCAACTATTAATGATAATACTGTGATTATTCTTACTGATATTTTCTTCTAACTATTAATGGTGATACCGTTATTATTCTTACTGATATAATCATTATCAAAATGTTATCAAAATGTCAGTAACATTAGAGACAATAATATGATATAAAAGAAGCGTTCCAAAAATCAAGGAAAATGGGAAACAGATGAGATATGTAGGACTATTGACTATTCTTTGGTGACTAAGGACTTGTAGAGCCATATGTAAAGACAATAAAAAATATAAAACTATAGACATGGCAAGTATTCTTAACGAATGTTGCGATTAGGTTCAGTATCACTAGTTTTAGGACCTTTACTATTATCAACATTATCATCATCAAACCAGTATCATTCACCTTACTAGTATCATTACTCTCAGTATTCCTGCTATCTTCTATACCACTACTACTATCATCATCATTATCATTACTATCATCAAAATCATCATCATTATCATTACTATCATCAAAATCATCATCATTATCATTACTATCATCAAAATCATCATCATTATCATTACTATCATCATCATCATCATCATCATCATCATTATCATTACTATCATCAAAATCATTTTCATCCTCATTACTTTCTATTATCATCCTTACTCCCACTCACTCATCCTCCTCATCATCATTATAATCATCAAAATCATTTTCATCCTCATTAATTTCCATTATCATCCTTACTCACGCTTACTCACCCTCCTCCTCATCATTACAATCATCAAAATCATTTTCATCCTCATTACTTTCTATTATCATCCTTACTCCCACTCACTCATCCTCCTCATCATCATTACTATCATCAAAATCATTTTCATCCTCATTAATTTCCATTCCTTACTCATTTTCGCTTACTCACCGCTGAGTCCTCTTCGGTCAAAGGATTAGCTTCGGAGTCCTCACGGATTACCCATCTCAGGACGTTGAAGCTGTTATATGTGACGCCTGTGATGAGTAAAGGAAATTTACTCATGCGTTACAAATACACTGATTTTTTTTTTTTTTTTTTTTTTTTTGGTTTTATTGTTTTTTTTACATTTTTTTTTTTTTTTTTTTTTAATTCATAGAGTATCAGTGTTCAGTTATTCATTTAGGTTAAATGTTGGATGGGTTATTCAGGTTAGGATGATCGTTGTGATTGAAATACGTAGATATATATAGGTATATATGAATACATGATTGCTTAGATATACATATACGCACACACAAGCATGCACACAACCTCACTCACACGCATACACGCGTACACAAACACACACACACACAAAAAACACTCACTCATTCACTCTCTCTCTCTCTCACTCTCTCACTCTCTCTCTTTCTCTCTCTCTCTCTCTCTCTCTCTCTCTCTCTCTCTCTCTCTCTCTCTCTCTCTCTCTTCTCTCTCTCTCTCTCTCTCTCTCATCTCTCTCTCTCTCTCTCTCTCCTCTCTCCTCTCCCTCCCTCTCCCTCTCCCTCTCCCTCGCCCTCTCCTCTCTCTCTCTCTCTCTCTCTCTCTCTCTCTCTCCTCCCTTTCTCTCCTCTCTCCTCTCTCTCTCTCTCTCTCTCCCTCTCTCCCTCCCTCTCTCCCTCTCCCTCTCCCTCTCTCCCTCTCCCTTCTCCCTCTTCCCCTCTTCCCCTCTTCCCCTCCCCCTCTCTCCCTCTCCCCCTCTCCCCCTCTCTCTCTCTCTCTCTCTCTCTCTCTCTCTCTCTCCCTCTCTCTCTCCCTCTCCCTCGCCCTCTCCTCTCTCTCTCTCTCTCTCTCTCTCTCTCTCTCTCTCTCCCTTTCTCTCCCTCTCTCTCTCTCTCTCTCTCTCTCCCTCTCTCCCTCCCTCTCTCTCCTCTCCCCTCTCCCTCTCCTCTCCCTCTCCCTCTCCCTCTTCCCCTCTTCCCCTCTTCCCCTCTCCCCTCTCTCCCTCTCCCCTCTCCCCCTCTCTCTCTCTCTCTCTCTCTCTCTCCCCTCTCTCCTCTCTCTCCCTCTCCCCTCCCCTCCCCTCCCCCCTCTCTCACTCTCCCTCTCTCACTCTCTCTCTCCCACGCAAACTCACCTGACGAAGTAAGAACAGTGTAAGTTGTAGCGACGAACAAAATGGCACTCCATAGTATTGCCTTAACCCACTTGCTCGACGTTGGACGCTGAGGCCTATGGCGGGAAAATGTTCTTTTTTTAAATATAATTCATATATATATAATGATAAAATAAAACCAATGGCGACAGGGGGGAGGTATATATACATAATGATAGAATAGGACTAAGGTGACAGGGAAAAAGGTGTATATGGTAGTATATATAATATATATATATATATATATATATATATATATATATATATATATATATATATATATATATATATATATATTATAATATATATATATATATATATATATATATATATATATATATATATATATATATATATATATATATATATATATATATACATATATATATATATATATATATATATATATATATATATATATATATATATATATATATATAATGATAAAATAAGCATGTATTGGAAAGAGCGATGTCCCAGGCCCTGTAAAAGTTCATAAAATGATGACGTTTTTTTATCATGATGAAGATGGTGATGACTTAGATTATGATCTTAGTAATGGTGGTGATGATGAGGATAAGAATGATGATGGTAATAATAATCATCATCATTATTATTACTATTATCATCATTGTTATTATCATTATTATCATAATGAAAATAACTTTGATAATAATAATAATAATAATAATTAACACAATAATAATGGTATAAAAAAACACAATAATGATTACTATAACAATAATATATTCTACTAATAATAATTATAACTGTGATAATCATAATTAATAATGACGAAAACGATGATAATGCTAATAATAACTATGATAACAATAATGTTATTAATTATAATGATAATAAAAATAGTAATGATAACAATAACAATAATATGATGATAATAATAATAACAATAATAATGATAATAAAAATAATAACAATAATAAAAACAAAAACAATAATAATAATGACAAACTAATAATAACATTAGTAATAATAATCATCATAATTATGAAAATGATAATAATATTGACAATAATAACCATTGTAATGATGATGATGGTAATATAATGATAAAAAATAACAATAAAAAACAAAAATAAATATAATTAACAGCTGATAAAAATATGATAACAATAATAATAGTAATAGCAACGATGATAATGATAATAACAATAATAGTAGTAATAAAAACAATGATGAGGATAATGATCATGATAATTAAAAACTAATCAACAATAAAAAATAATAATAAAAGTAAAAGAATATTCGAGTAATGACAACGGTAATAGCAGAACAGATTCACAAGGAA